CCAATGTTTGGGTCTGGGGATTTAGCTCAGTGGTTCTACCACCTGCCTCACAAGTGTAAGGTCCCAAGTGCAATCCCTGGTACAGAAAAAAAAACAAAAAAACGTCATGACTCATTCCATGGCCTCTTCTGTTTGTAGCGCCTTGAATGCCCAAAGCTCAGTATTATTTTTCTCATTGGTCACTGTCTCACAAGGAAAATATATAAGAAACTAAGGAGGGGGGTTTTGGTGAAACCATCAAGAAGATAATAGGAAGAGCTGGGCATAGTGGCACACTCCTGTAATCCCAGCATTCGGGAGGCTGAGGCAGGAGGATCGCTGTGAATTTTGAGACCAGCCTGGGTTACATAGGTGAGGTCCAGGTCAGTCTCAACTACATAGTGAGACCCTGTCTCAAAAAAGAAGGTAAAAGGAAGATGTTGGAAGTACAACGAACACAGTAAAGAAAAAGAACCGTGTCCTAAGATTAAAGGCCATCGAAGACCAAAGTCCCTGCCAATGTTGGTTAATGAAATTCACAACCAACTCTTTAGTCAGAAATGTATATACCCCAATAAATTTTCCTACTAAAAAAAAAAAAAAAAAAGAAATGTATAGAGTGCAGATGAAGATAGATTTCCATTCTGTCCTGTAGCCACTTTTCCCACGACCAAAGGGAACATATACCTCAGAGAAGACTCTGCTGAGCTACAGAAGTAGAGGCATGCTAAGCAGACATGTTTGGAAAAAATTAGTTACAAAACAAGGCAAAAGGGCCAGGAAATTAGCTCAGGGGCACCACACCTGCCTCGAAAGCACAAGGTCCTGAGCTCAATCCTGGTATTAAAAAAAAAAAAAAACAAGGGAAAGACAAAGTGTGTTCACTTAGGCTACACCTGACTCTACATAGCCCTGGCTCCTAGAAGATTCCTCTCTTGCCTCTCTCTCTAGCTTCCTGGAGAAGTACGGCAGAGAAGAAAAGAAGGTACTCACCCAAGAGAGGAGTGCAGCCGCCCGTGTGGCGTGGAGTGTCATCTTGGTGAAACCACACAGTCACCCCAACGCACCTAGAACCCTAGAGAGGAAGAAGAGCAGGTAATTAGAACAGATACCTGGGATCAAGGAGCAGAGGGTGAAAGGCTCCATTTATCAATTGTGATCACTTAAACCATTCTTTCACTGCTTAATCTACCAAGGCACCTTAAGAATATAAGAGAGCTCACAGTGTACATGAAAATCACTATAAAATCATACCCAGTCAGGACCAACATGCATTTAATTCAACATTCACAAACTTCCCGTGTGATCTTTCAGCTCATGGAAAACCACAAAGTTGGTCTTTGTCCATTATCACCACTCATGTTCAATATAGTTCTAGAAACATTAGCCCCAGCAATTAGACAAGAGAAAGAAATAAAAGGAATAAAAGATAGGAAAGGAAGAAGTTAAACTGTCATTATTTGCTGACAATATGCTGCTCTACATAGAAGACCCCAAAAATTCTGCCAAAAGATTTCTAGACTTAATTGACAGATTCAGCAGAGTAGCTGGATACAAGGTCAACACTCAAAAATCAATAGCCTTCTGGGCCAGGGATTTTAGCTCAGTAGTTCTGGTGCCTGCCTCGCAAGCACAAGGGCCCGAGTTCTATCCCCAGTACTAAAAATCAGTAGCCTTCTTATACACAAATACAACTCACTGAGAGAGAAATCAGGGAAGCAATTCCTTTCATAATAGCATCCCCTCCAAAAAAGAAATATCTAGGAATCAATCTAACAAAGGAAGCAAAGCTGCTCTACAACCCTGCTCTTTCGGGGCATGGTGCCCTCAAACATAATCCAAATATGGTTTTTTGGACAAAGCTGAGTCTGAATTCTGATTCCATGTGATCATGGTCACATGACTTTAACATAACCTCTTTAAATCTCAATGTCTTCATCTGCAAATAGGATCCATATACACCTCCCTGGCTTATCATTATATACAAAGATAAAACAATTAGCCCAGTACGTGGCACATGGCAGTTATTCAGTATGATAACTGTTCTCAAGCAGAAAGGTTAATTTCTGGCTTTTTAATGCTAGTACCCAAATTCTAACTAACGATCAGCAGCAAGTCCTTGGAGAAACTGTTAACAATTTTTGGATGTTTTATATTTTCCACAGAAATGTCAAACCCAAACCAAGATCTCTAGACAAGACCAAGCCTAATTCTGGAGGAGATCCTGGGGGGACATTTAATGAATGATTAGACATTTTTCCTAGTACACTTACCCCCAATTTCCTTTGCACTGGGAATATGCCATCTGTCTGCCAAACTACCTATGGGATCACAGACTTGATGAGTAAATGTCCCCTGACGCCACCTAACACCCCCTGTAATTCCCATAAATCTTCCTATAGCACAATCAACCCCCACCTCCTGTCACAAGTGCCCAGTCTGTCACTATTCTGGGAGGTACTAAAAGCCATATCACCTATAAATCTCCCCACATACTACCACTTCCAAAATGCAGGCTCTGTGGAACCAACATTTGCTCAGGGCCTTCTACATGCAAAGAGCTGGAGATAAAAACACCATTCTTTCCTTAAGATGCTCACTGTCAGGTAGGGGAAAGAGATACACTAATCTGATAATTAGTCTCCATCATCTCTTATTACTTCCTATCCAAGTGTACTCTGCTTATCAACCAATCAAAAGGTTTTCTTAGTCCCTAACATATTCATTCTGTGCTGAAAGCTATGTGGAAAATCAGAGACAAACGTGGCCCTTGCCTTTGAGGGGCTTACGGCAGGGTGAGGAGTAAAACTAAATATACATAATATGAGAAATAATTAAATGTTAAATATAACTAAGTGCTAATTATAATGAAATGATTCCTGACCCTGCAAACCCCAACATGATTCCACCTGTTATACCAAAGTCACGCTTTTGGAAATAAGTCAACGCACCTGGGCCTTGGCAAGAGCAAGTGAAATGGCCAAAGGAGATCTGAGGAGGGCAAGGAAGTTAAGGGGCCCACGTGTTCCTCAATCGCAGATGATTTTCCCAAGTATGGACTAACTGTAGGTACTGCAAGCCGAGCCCTTGGGGGCGAGACAGGATGAAAGTAGATGACCTCAACTACTACACTGAAATAAGACTTTTCTGGCTGGCCAGCCTAAAGCTACAGAGACCACGCTTGGGTGAAGGAAGCAACTGCCAAATGCTCAACTGGGCTTTTTAAAAACATCTCTGGAGCTATTCAAAAACAAGGGAACAAGGGAAGGGTAAGCCAGAGCACCTCTCTCTTATCCTCAGTGCTGCCAGTCCTTGACACTGACAATAGACTTGTAGTCATTTGATGAGAACCAACATTTCAATCAGAAATTTGGGGGAGGGGAATGGCTCAGTGGTCAAGCACTTGCCTAGCATGCATGATGCCCTTGGGTTTGTTCCCTACCACCCCCTGCAAAAAAGATTTTTTTTCCCTTTTTGTGGTACTGGGAATGGAATCCAGGGAGCACTAAGCTCTGTCTTCAGCCCTTTTTTACTTTTATTCTGAGAAAGGTCTCACTAAGTTGCCAGGCTGGCTTCAAACCTATGATCCTCCTGCTTCAGTCTAAGTAACAAGGATTACATGTATCACCATGCTCAGCGCCCCCACAAAAAAGCAACCGGAAGTAGTTCTTGCCTCCTCTGAAAGATTCCACAGCTGTGCTGCTAAAAATGACCTGAGGTTCAACTTCTTTTCTTCATCTGAGAGGCAGAATGTACCACCCTATATCCTCCCAGGAGAACCTAAAACTAGTTCCACTACTCAAGAAAACTTCACGTCAAAGCCAACTGCCTTTTTTTCATGCTCCCCAAGCACAGAAACCGGAGGAATCCAACACTCAACAGACTTTGTCATCAGAGCCTATAAGGGACACTTCCTCAGAGACAGGACACCAGGGTGAGCGGCATTAGCACAGCACAGCCATCTGCTGGTGCTGAGGCCACTCTGGGTGATGAATGACTGAAGGCAGTGGCACAGCTAATGCTCAGTACTGGGACTACAGCTTTAAGCATGCCTTGGCTTGGAACCCAGGGCTCCCGGCCAGAGCACCATCCTCCCCACCCTCCCCCTGAAATCTGAGGCAAGCCCCACCCAGGAGACTGGGTGATGGTGATGGAAAAACAGATCCCTGTGATTGTAGCCCAGAACGATTTCACAGCGGGATCTGCTGAGATCCACACCAACTGAATCAGGCACCCCCCTCAAGTACCTAATCAAAAGACAAAAAAAACTAAGATTCCCAGAATGTAGGCCAGATTCTGAAGGTATCTTTAGAGTCTCCACCTATCTGGCTCTTTGAAAATAATACTCCCAGAATCAAAACACAGGCTTCCTAGAGCTGGTAAGGTACCCTCTTTTCCCTGGTCCAGAAAGGATTGACACAGATGCAGTTGCCTTATAAACTTAAGATCCTGCATCCTCTTTATATTTCCAAGCTGACAAAACGCATCTCTCCTACAACAGGACCAATTCTCACATTTACAGGAATCCCTCTGTTTCCAGAAGAAAAATATATATATATCAGTACAAGGAAAGTGACATTCCAGAAAAGCACAGCCACCGGGCCTGTACCCTTCTCTGGATCTTAAAGAGTTAAAGCCAAGCCCTAGTTTCCTACCAGGGCTGAAGCTAATGCAAACCACCTGCCCAGATGCAAGGACCAGTGCCAGTGGGTCAGGTTGCTGAGCTCTGGGGTCTGTTCTGAAAAAGCTGCAGTTTTAGGAGAAGTGATAGGTCAGAGTCTGAGTTGCAGCAGCACTGCTCTCCACGCCCCACCCCCAGCCTGGATGCCAGCTGCCCGGAGACTGCCCCTTAGCCACCTACTGCCTGCCTGAACACTACCTTACCTGAAGATAACACCGATGTGACCTCTGGTCTAGACAGCAGCTAAACAGTACTGATCTCAGCTCGCGGCCCCCATTCTGTTAGTGCTACCTCCCACTCCCAGAACTTCTGAGCTACACATGCTCCCACCTAAAAGGGTTCTTCCAGGAACATCCCCCACCCCCACTCTTACTCCATGGTTCCAAGGCCCACAGATTCACAGCTAAGAAAATGGCTGGCTGGTCTGAGCATCCAAGCTCAGTGGCAAACTTAACACCACTCTGCCTGAGAGCCTATACAACGACAGCCATAGAATTCCATACCCTGTACCCCTTTTCTAAAAGGGATTCTTCCATCTAAGAATGTCCACATCCAAAGAATAAATACCATGATCCTGGGACTCCTCCTCCAATTCTAGAAGGGAAGGCAGGAGATGCAGGAAAGCAAACACCCAGACTTCATCCATCAGGCAGATTACCCCAGAGGAACTCAGCAAAGACCAAGCAAGCTATGGCTAATTTGCCACAAAACCAACCAACCAACAAACAAAATATATATATAGCAGGGCAGCAGTGGCTTGTGCCTGCAGTCTCAGCTACTGAGGTTGAGGGAGAGGAAGAAACTGCTTGAACCCTGGCAATACAGCAAGACTTGGTTTAAAAGCAATAACAACAACTACACATGGCGGTGCACACCTGTAATCACAGCACTAGGGTGGCTGAGGCAGGAGTCTGAGGCCTGTGGACTACACAGTAGTGAGTTCAGGGCCAGCCTGCCAGCCTGAACTACCCATAGGTACAGAGCCAGACTCATCTCAAAAACAAAACAAAAACCGCTGGGCCAGTGTTGGCGCAGGCCTGTAATCCCAGCACTCCTGCAGGCTGAGGCAGGAGGACTGCTGTGAGTTCGAGACCAGCCTGGGCTACATAGTGAGTTCCAGGTCAGTCTCAACTATATAGTGAGACCCTGTCTCAAAAACAAAACAAAAAAACCACAAACAAAACACAACTAAAACTTGCTAATGCACCACCTGGCTTGGACAAGGTAAAAGGCTACAAGACTAGCAGCTCTATGAAAAGTCATGGAGGAAAAAACAAATCTTTTTCATCCCCTGAGTCCTGAGTAGACTGGCCCAAGTCAAGAGTCTTTCCACACTCCTGAGGTTGGGGCAAACCAGCTTGCTAGATGTATTCCTTGAGCTTGGGGCTCAAGGATGGCCCTCCTCACAGACCACTCCCCTTTGTAGCCTAAAGTTCGGCCCAGAACTCCAAGGCCTTGGAAAGGAACAGGGAGAGAATGCAGAGAAAAACCAAGATTCCAGTTTCTTCAAAAATGGCCTGCTGATACCCACCCCATTCCACCAGTGGGGTTCAGATCTGAAGGCTGTAGGAAAATTGCCAGACCTGGGACCTGCAGCCAGATACTGCACACAGCTGCCTGTAGGCGCTGTAGGCACTGTAGGCGCACACAGACCAGGGCCCACTCCAGTGCCCACTCCAGTGCCCCCCACCTGCCCCCACCACTGCATTCATGCACCCTGTTCCCTACTAGCTGACAAAATGAACCTGTTTTCACCGCCCTCCACCACCGCAAGCATGCCTAGGGTCTCCCCAGGGAACCGTAAGAGCCCTCTCCTGAGCTGTCTCGAAGGCTCAAGTACAGGCCCACACGTTTCCCTCTCTGAACAAAAACACGCTGACATCTAGCCACTGAAGGGGGAAAGAAAGCAGTCCTCTACCCTGAAAGGCGCCAACTCCCGGATGTTGGCAAGCTCTGCTCCCAGCGCCTGTTTCTGTGTTTACTTGCCTTCCCTCCCCTTTAAGGATGGTGTAGGAAAAGAGGTGAGGGGGGCGAATCCACCCCACCCCCTCGTCCATGTTTGAACAAAAACCCAGAGAAAGAGCAAGGGAGGAAAAGTCTCAGTGCAGGTGGGCCTTACCAGACTCTTAAAGCCAAACGTATCTACAGGTTTTAATCCGCCATTAGCATTTAAATCTTGAAAGGAGAGGAGAAAAGGGGGGCAGTGGAAAGTAACCCCACACACAAAAGAAAAGTTGTTGGTTTTCTTCTCAGTCAGCCTGGCAGGAGCGATCTTCCTGGCTGACAGCCAGAAGTGCGTCACAGCCAGGAGTCTGCTTTCTTTAAAGGCACAGCGAGCTTCCGCGATCTGGAGCACAAGCGGAGCAGGGACCTCACAGCGGGGGATGGGGAGGAGCCGCGCGAGAGGGTGGAAAGGACTCAGGCTGGAAGCTCCGGCCCCAAACAAGAGAGGGAGACGGGGTGGGGGAGGGCGGGAGCACGCAGGCAAAATCACTGAAGTGCTGCAGCAGCAAGAGCAATCCTAACTGTGGCAGAAACACACAAAACGCGCTCCCAGCGGCCTGCCTGACAAACCTGAGGTCGCCCACCGGACACTCCCTTCACGCTTTCCACCCAGGGCCTAGGGGAGCAGCGGGGACCTGTCCATCTCTGGCCAGCCACAGGAGGTTTGGGCCGGGCCGGCCGCCCAAGCATTCGGACAGTCCCTGCCTGGAGGCCGGCGGATGGACGGGCAGGGCAGGGCAGGGCAGGGCAGGGAAGAAGACCGGAGCAGAGGCCCTAGGAGCCAGCACGGC